CAGAAGGACCTTGCACAGAACCAAACCAAAATAAGCCAAAGCCAAATATTTGTTAAGTAGAACTGTCTCTAGTCAGAGTCAATTCTATCTACATTTGGCCAGAGCAGCTCTCCATTCTGCAGCTATTCTGTGTCCTGTGGCTCATGCCACAAGACAGAGGGGGACCACCATCTAGCACACTTCTGCTACAAAGCTGAGGCCCAAGAGAAGGGTCTGCCAAATACCTCCACAGCCATTTCCTGGAAGTTCTGCCCTGCAGCTTCAACTATTTTCCCTAAACGGAAGATAGGGCAGAAGGGATCTGTCTGGGAATCATAGATGCAGCTCTTGAGGTAGGTGGAGTTGATAGTGGGGAGGATGTTTCGCCTAAAGGGGAACAGAGAGAGAGATTTGTTGCATGTTTTCCACTTCTCCAGCTCTGGTCCAAGAGACCAGACAGAGCAATGCCCCATACACTGTTTACTTGCTGAAGTTGAACTTGGGGTACCAAATGTTGTTCTTCACCAGAAGGGTGAAGTTCTCAGCTTCTTGCAGGAACGCTGGCCTACAAAACAATAGGAAAAGTCAGTAAGTTTCACTCATATTTTCACAAACAGGACTCTGATGGATCCTTGGCTATCACATCTTCAGCTTTTTCCAACAGTACCTCATAGGGAGAAACATCAGCTGCATACTGCTAGCCTGCTGCCAGGGGAGCCACTGCAGAGTAGGAAGACAGAGCACTCACTTGGGTATATAATAGTCATCCTCCACGGGGCACCATGCAAAGACTTCACAGGTCTTAATGCTGCTGTTGTATGGTACACACTTCCCAGTCTGGATGCCTAGAAAGAAAGGTTAATGAAGTACTACCAAGCAAAAACACAGAGCCAGTATTTGCCCTGTGATCCCTCCTCGCTCCCTAAGGTGAAAGCCATCTGCTCAGAGGTGAAATGCAGGTACCAAGAACCCCACTATCTTCCACTGCAATTTGTAGTGCAGTTTCAGAGGAAGCATCAGGTCCTTTTTCTAAGTGAAATCCTCATCTACACAAAATACTGCTTCATGGACTCAAGGTCTTGAAAAAATCTTCACACTATCTGCTAACCCACCAAAGCACATAGCTATCTAGCATCCACCCAACAGTCCTAACCCAGAAGAAAAAAAAAATCTAAGTTTCCTTTTCAGCTGTCTTGGGTGTGCGAGAATGAGAACAAGGAGACTGAAGGGAAATGCTGCTGCCTTTGCAGGAGGAAATGCACAGCATAGAGGTATCACAACACTGACTGGAAAGAGCCCTGGCAGCAGACTTCTTACCACTGCTGTGGGTACTGACATATCCTGGAACACAGTCTTTGTTGACCTTGCACTTTGTTTTATCATCTGGAAGCTGGAAAGGAACAATAATTACATTAAACTCTACGAGCTCTCTCCCCCACACTCCCACCTACACAAGGTAGGGTTAAATCAGGTCCTGAACCTACTTCTGGGCAGTGGCCTTGACGCTGGTTGGGTGTGAGTATCACATTGGTCATGACAAACACAGCATTCTCCTCCTGAACATGCAAAACAAGAAGGAAATTTAAAAGTGACAGTCTGCAAAGAATAACCAAGGCATCGCCCCAAATGTCTTTGCTGACAGAGCAGGCTTGCTTTGGAGACAGTGCTGGTGCAAGCACACAAATGGAGCAGACTTCCACATGTATCACCTGATGCCCCTGTCTTTAGGCAGAGGCAGGACTGTGGGACTAGCAACCCTTTCTGTCTTCTCACTTGGCCCAAATTTCCTCATTCATGTTATGAAAACAGAGACCACACAGCTCCTCAGGGGAATCACGAAGCAGAAGCAGAAACAAAGCTCCAGCTGCAAGTCTGAGCACACCCTCCCCTCTTTTTTTTTTTTTTTTTTTTTAATTGATCTATTAGAAATGTGACCAGTCCTGGTTTGTTTCTCCAGGGAGCACCACTTCCATTATTTTCAGAACTGTACAATGCAGGATCTGTTGTTTGCTTCTGCTCCGCTGATATACAAGTATTATCACTCAGCCAAAATCTGGCTAAATCTGCCACTTCTTTCTGCACCACATCTCCTGCAGACAGCGACCCATAACCAGCAGCTTGGCTGTGCCTGCCAACCCCGAAGAGTTCCACATATTGCCCACACTGTGCAGATTCCCAGACATAGTCAATCAGTAACTACTGCAATACTTCCCGTTCAGTTCCGGATCAAGTGACTTGCAAGCTATTCCCAGGATTCCTGCCAACACCTTGACTTTGCACTGTTTGCTTTAGAAAGCAGTAAGATAGAGGACATGTGGTTATTGTAATAACTTTTTCCTGAAGCCTGTAAAATTCTCCCTCCTACACGAGCACACACACATAGACACAGAATCATCAAGGCTGGAAAAGACCTTCCAGATCATCAAGTCCAACTGTCCGCCCTACAACCCCTAACCACCAAACCACTCCTGAAACACCACATCTACCTGTTTTTTTTAACATCTCCAGGGATGGTGCCTGTACCACCTCCCTGGGCAGCCTGTTCCAAGGCCTCACTACTCTTTCTGTGAGGAAATTTTTCCTAATACATAATCTGAAACTCCCTGGGTGCAACCTGACCCCATTTCCTCTTGTCCTATCGCTGGTCACTAGGGGAAAAAGTCCAACACCCACCTCACCACAACCTCCTCTCAGGTAGAGGAGAGTAATTGTAGAGTAATAAGGTCTCCCCTCAGACTTCCCTTCTCCAGGCTGAACAGCCCCAGCTCCCTCAGCCTTTCCTCACAGGGCTGATCTCAAGACCCCTCATCAACTTAGGGGCCAACTTCTCTCCAGCACCTCAATGTCCTTCCTACATTGTGGCACCCAAAACTGCAGAGTGTAGGAAGGACACACTTTTCTTGAAACAAGCTTCCCCTGGGTGAGTGGTGCAGGTGCTTCCCATGATCTGCAACACAGCAAAGCTTCTTCGCTCTCTCACACCAAGTCCACGCTGGAGCTGAAGCTGCTCCTCACTTCAGTGGGCTCTGGCAAAGCAGCAGCTGTTTGTTAGCAAACCTGCCCTCTGCGTGTGAAGGTGACCGGTACCTGAGGAGGGATGACATAGTCAGCTACATCCCAGATCCTGGCTCCCAAGGTGGACGTGTTTGTCAGTGTCACTCCTTTCACCTTTGTGGTTACAGAACTGACCACAGAGTCTGTCTCCTGGTAGCCCTTCTCCCACAGAAAGACCCAGCTGCAAGAAAGAAACACAAAACCCCAGATAAACACCAGCAGAGGGTGTGGGAATTGATCTGTTTTCCACGTCACCTCTCCAGGTCAGTTTCATCGTGTTTCCCT